TTAAATCTTAATAGATGTTGCCAAGCTGCTTTACAAAGGAGTTGTAACAATTTACATTTCTACCATCAATAATTATAATAGCCAACTTTTATTGAATGATTATAGTATGCCAAGCAGAGTTGTGGCTCTGGATTTTTTTATCTCCCTTAATAGTCACAAGTCTCCTGTGATATATTATCATCCTCGTTTCACAGCTGGGTGATCTGAAGTGTCCTTAAGATCGCTCACATGGTCAGAGCCAGCCATCCTGTGCCTCTTGTGGCCGTACGTGAGAGTACCCCCCTTTCCCTGGTTTCCAGTAGCTGTTTATCATCTTTTTTAATGAATTCCAGCTTAATGTCTGTAAAAGGTTATCTCCTAATTGCTTTACTTTGCATTTCTTTGACCACTGTTCAGTTTGAGCATCTTTTAATATGTTCATTGGTCTTGTGTAATTGCTCTTCCCTGGATTGTCTATGCATATCCTTTGATCATATTTCTTTGGGGGTGTTATTTTCATTTTTATTTCATTTTTATTTTGTTTGGTCAGCTTGTGGAAACTCTAGGAGTAGAATAGATATTAATCCTTTATCATCAATCCGCTTTGGAAACTTTTTTTCAATATCTATCAAATATCTTGATTTTCCTTATGTATCTCCTTGACATGCCAGTGTTCTGAATTTTTCTCAGGTCTGTCTTTTCTTGCATTTCTGTTTTGGTTTTCTTAGGGTTTTAATTTTTTCATGTTTTTAATCGATCTGGAATTTGTTTTTAGCGTATCTTACCAAATACCACAGCCATGATAAATTTAAAGTTTATTTTTACTAGATCTGGTTTTGGATTTCCTATTTTATTCCACTCACCTATTTTTTTTTTTTACTCATATGTTAATACCAAATTGATTTGATGCAGTAATTTTATAGAATGTTCTAATATAGGATAATGTAAGTCCACTCATATTTTTCCTAATTTTTTCTTAGTTTTTTTTTCTTTATTCTTCCATATGAACCTTATGATTATTATATACAGATTTTTAAAAAATCTATCTTGGAATTTTCATGGTTCTCATAATGCGACAAGGTTGTAAGTGACAGACTCCAGCAGATACTGTTAAAGAATGTAGAAAGATACTGAAAGGTAACAATGGAGAAACTGAGAGAAATCATTAGAAAAAGCAGGAGAGAACACAGCATGGTCGTAAACAGAAATGTGGCTTCTCCCGTCTTTCAGAGTTTCCCACAAGGACGTAAGCCGTGAAAAATAGTGCCTGTAGGGTGAGAATTCTGCCAGTCGTGAGAAGCCTGATTTACCATTCTCAGGAGGATTTTATACCCTGTTGGCCTCTTCCTCTTTGTCCTGGGGATTCTGGCTCCCTCCCTAACCACCAGGTGCCCCACA